CTCTCTCTCTCTCTCTCTCTCTCTCTCTCTCTCTCTCTCTCTCACACACACACACACACACACACACACACGCACACACACACACACACACACAGGAACATCGGACGATTGAACGATGACAGGGACAGGGGCACGACCTGAGCAGACGAGGCGGGCTCTGTAACAAGTGCAGTGTTCTCTTTCTCTCGCCTTTATTGTTTTCCTTTCTTTCTTGTTCGTTTTTTCGATTCTTCTTGTTTTGTCCTTCTTTTTTCCTCCTTCCTTCTTCCTCCTTTTTCTTTTTTTCCTTCCCCTTTTGTTTCTTCCCCCCTTTTTTTACCCTCTGATACGCACGCACACGCCCCTCCCTGCAGTATGTCCCTTGCTACTTCTTCGGCCCCCCACCCACCCCACCCCTGTTTTTTCCTTACTTTGAATAGGGCACGCCTCTGGTCACCCCTTCCGAAGAACGTGATTAGGCACACACCCCACACATGGATAGGACCGAGGCCCTTCCCATGGAGATGACCCCCCCCCCGACCGCTTGTAAGAATAGTGCAGATACATAGGGAACCAGGGAATGTTGCGCGCTCAGAACAGGGTCGGTTCGTGAGCCAGGCCATGGACCGGTTGTAGCCTAGTTTGCTTGATGGTTTTGCTTTTTCTCCTTTTTAATTTTCTTTTTCCTATTTTTCTTTTCTTTTTTCTTTTTTTCTTTTTTTCTTTTTTTCTTTTTTTCTTTTTTTCTTTTTTTCTTTTTTTTTTCTGTTTGTTTTTTGCTTAGTAGGAACTCTGGAATAAACGGATGGATGTGTGAGGAGGCTTTCATCGGAAGGCCACGATCTCCGATGGAGGAGGGACTATATTAGGACCAGACGTAGGTAAGGCTGTTCATAGGTCCGCCGTGCAATAATCGGTTCTGAAAGACGGTAGGGCGCGGTGCGTTCTGGTTTTGCGGGTGCTTGGGTGAGGCGGCGCACGACATGGACTTCTTCAACGACTGGGACCAGGTGGAGGAGCAGCCAGAGGCGGAAGAAGCGGTAACGATCCTGGCGTGAGGACTCTCTCGTCAATTTCCTGCTGCACCGGCCGGACCTCGACCACGCACCATGCAAGCGGACACGATCTGCCTTGCGCAACCTGCCCTGCTCCCTCCGAGCTCAATCACGCCAACGCTGGGCGCAGGCCTGGCCCTCCTCTTCCTCCTCACCTTACTCCCCAACCTCGCCATTGCCTGCATGCTCACGGCCGCTTGCCTCTCCGAGAGAGTCTTTCTGTACGCTTCCTCTAGGGGCTTCGCGCTGCGGATAGCGTGCACCATCTGCTTCATCTCCTTGTTCCTAGCCTGCTGCTGCTGCCTTTTTTTCGCGATCGAAGTTGCTTTCAGTTGGCGCGCGCTGGTTGAGTAGCTCACGGCGGGAGCAATGGAGTCGAAGGGCGCAATAGGGACTTCTCCGCACGTTTTTTTAGCCTTTCTTTCCTTCCTGTCCTTTCTATCCTTTCTGTTCTTCATATACTCCCTCCCTTCTCCCCCGCCGCCTGGATGCTGTTCCCCCCTTCCCTCCCCCTTGGATTCACCCTTCCCCGTCTTGACCACTACCACCACCCCCCTCGCTCCCCCTCGCCACGCCCCCCCTCGCACTTCCACGTCCCCTCCACCTTCCAAAGACCATGGAAGATGCTCCCCCTCCCCCCTTTGATGACGCCCCAGATGGCATGGGGCAGAAAAGCGCTTTAGGGATTTGCCATGCCCTCCCTGCGATTCGGCGAGATGGTCTGTGCGGAGGCAGGAGCACGATGGGCGTGGAGGATAGAGCTGAAGCAGGGTTTCCTTTTTTTACCCCCCGCCCCCCCTCCCTTTCTTTTCTTGACCACCATCCTTCCCCCATTGCCCCTTCCCATTCCTGGCTATTCGGAGGGTTGCGTGGATGGTACTTGGCAGCGAGGAATGATTTGGCTTTAATTGACTTGACACTCTATTAAGGTTTTGCAGCAATTCGTGAAGTTTGTTTTTCTACTGTCTTTTTGCGCTTCTTCGGGATGGGCGTGCATCTTGTGATCTACGAATGAGAAAGGACTGGGGATAGTAGTAATTGGCCTATGGATGATGCATGGGTGGCTCGTTTTCATCCTTTTTTGGCCTTGTATTTTCTCTCTTTTTTCCTCTGGAGTGTTTTGCTCTCATCCTCCCCCACTCTCTCCCCTTCTCCTCCTGAGAGACAGAAGCGTATAGCATCTGAATGTTTGGTCGAGGGAGGGCATGCATGTTTTCCTTCTCTCCTTTTCTCCTTCTCTCCTTCCCCTCCTCTCTCGCTCGTTCTCTCCGTTCTCTGTTCGGAATTATTGGATGACGTATGATCAATGCTTGGAATGGACTATGATTGCAGACTACATCTGTCGCTTCTTGAATGGTTCCCCCTTACTTTATGCCTTCTTCAGTCTTGGTTATCTTTTTGGCTTCTCTCCCCTCTCAATAAGGCGTATAGCGCCAGTAGTAGGTCTTTGCATTTTTGGCGAGAAAGATTGTGATATGCTGTACGTATGAACTATGTATGTGATCATTCCTCCTGGAAAGGCAGGCCTTCGCCCGTTCCCCTTTCGTCCTGCGCCCTTCTTACACACCCACTTACTTCCGGCTGTACCGGCCTATTTCGCCCTCGCTACAGACGGACACACTTTTTGGCTTTACCCTGCCGCGTTTCTGAATCGCCTCCGTGCCTTGTCTATTGCCTGCGGTGTGCCGACATGGTCGGAGCAGTACAGGTATGACGTATCGTACCTGTACGCATCTCATGTTACACACACATGTCACACACACACACACACACACACACACACACACACACACACACACACACACATGCGCGCGTGTAGTAGTGTATATTTCCATGTTCTAGCGAAAGATTCATTCGATTTTGCTCATCCTATCGATGGAAGTAGTGTGAGGCCAGCCGCGGGGTTGGAGACTTACCTGTTCGCCGGTGTGTTGCTCATCCTATC